TCTCTCACAATTACCTGCTTTTTTCACATTGCCATCTCTTTCCCATAATTCTCCATTCTCCCCTACAATACTCTGTGTCTCCCACAATTCTCTTTCCCATAATACCTTGTTTCTCCTACAATTTCTTGTTTTTCCCACAGCTTGTTGCTCCCACAATTCTCTGCTTTCCCACAATACCATATGTCTCTCACAATTTGTTCTTTCCACAATTCCCTGCTTTCTCTTGCAATTATACATTCTTACTTCTCTTTTTCAAATCTGTTTTCTCCTATAATGCTGTCCTCTACATTGCCTCCTTAAAATTCTATTTATTTTACACTTCTCCAGTCTCTGCCATAATTCCTCTTTCCAAACTTGACATTATCTGTCACAACTTTCTGTTTTCTTACAGTTCTCTTTCCCACAATTCTCTATTCTCCCCGATAATCCTTGGTGTGTTGCACAATTCTCTGTCATTCCCACAATTCTTTGGTTTCCCACAATTCCTTGTATTGCCCACAGTTCCCCATTCTCTTCCACATTTCTTCATTCTCCCATACATTTCCATCTCTCCCACAATTCTCCATTCTCTACATTCTCTCACAAATCTCTGTTCTTTCCTACAATTCTGTTTTCTTCCATGATTCTTTTTTTCTCACACTTTCCTCTCTCCTCAAATTTCCTTTCTGTCCCACAATTTCTCATTCTCACTAGAATTCCCATTTTTCCCACAGTTCTCTCTCATAATCTCTTGTATTTCCCCTAAGTCCCTGTTTTCCACCAATTTGTTTTTGCCCACAATTCTGTCCTTTCCCATAGTTCTTGCTTCTTCCTAATTCTTTTCTCTTTCTCACTGTCCTATTATCTTTCATACTTCTCTATTTTTTTTTTTTTTTTTTGAGTTGGAGTCTCACTCTGTCGCCCAGACTGGAGTGCAGTGGCCGCTCCCAGCCACTGCAGCCTCGACCTGCTGAGCTCTGGCAATCCTTCCACCTCAGCCTTCCAAGAAGCTGGAACTACAGGTGCGCGCTACACGCC